AAACCAACTTAAGTCTGGGCTAGTACAAGTAGCCGCACATACACATTCATGCACGTCGCCTTATGAGCGAAATATTCTCAAGCACGACGTATAACCCAATTTCACCTCACCTCATTGAAAACAACTAGGGATGAATTCATACAACTACAAGTGTATTCACGAAGTAGGAAATGTTTGTGTAATTCTCCCCCAAACTGCATATCCTGCCACTTCTATATGCAACCAACTGCAGAGGTCCTGATAAGCTGCGTATCCGGGTACAATACGTACTGAAAATTTCCAATGACGCATTGGAAAATAATTGTTGCGTACCAATTACGCATTTAAACTGTTAGATACGCAAAGAGTTTAAAGCAAATGTGTACGGAATATACTTATAAAAATCGCTTGCGTAATGAAAAAGACATCGATTGCTATCAAGTTGTACTGTGAGTATAGGACAAGTGTTGTACTGTCAGTATAGGATGACTGATTTTTTATGAAATCATTTCCCTTATATTTAAGTTGGTTTTGATTAGGTATGACATAAGGCAGAACATACCTGCTTAGTAAACTTACTCAATGACACAATACTTAGGTGTGTAAAATGACTGAAATACGCACATATTTGAAAGCAGTGGGTAACGGAAAATGAAATACCCACTAAACATTCATAATACCCACTCAAAAAAAATACAGTGGGTACAGTACCCACATTAGCTAAATCTTATCTGGAGCTCTGCAACTTAGAGGATTTTAACAGTTTTAATCAAGCCTGGATAAACAAAAATACAGCTTATATTTATGAGCATCAATCCATCAAGTCTGATACACGCCATCAACAAATCTGACAACCCGATACACCTACACACCTCCAATTCAAACCTGGAATCCCCACACTGGCTTTCTATAATATAGATTATTAAGGAATTCTCAAATTGAGCTCTGATTTAGGTCTTATTTTCAAGGTACATCTTGGTATTTATATATGTGGTTTGCCATATGTCAGCTAAATTTTGTATGAAAACCTGAAGTGATACAGGACTCTAACATTTACCAATTTGGAAAAACACACTAGTTCTCTATGGTGCCCTCTAAAGATATTAAACTCTGATTATCACCAGACATATCATCAGTGCCCTTGTGTTTTTTGCTTTAACCAATCACCATTGTGTAAATAACTGTTGCATCTTGTTTGCTCTACCCACATGTGTTTTCAGTCCCCAACTCAGTTTCTGAAGATTGGGTCTGGCATAATTATGTTAAAAATCAAATATCTTAATAAAGATGACTGGTTTCTATCAATCAACAGAAATCAATATTTACCTTTAGTAGGCTGTAAAAATAATCTGCTAAAATAAAATACTTTCTTATCAGCAAAAAATGCCTGTTCAGAGCATGTCACTAGCTCTTCCTGAAGTTTACTTGATATAATTGAATTTTTGACACTCAAATTACCCCAATATTTTTATTTGGGTCAGAGATGTGGCGACTGTCCTATCCTCATAGTGAGATTGAAAAGGTTCATCTCTCTACATGCAAATGTTTCCTACATGTAAAATGTTGTACACCCAACCACACTGTAAGTGGTGAACTTGGTAGATACCCTAGTTTGTATCTATTTTGCTGTAAAAGAGTTGTGAAATATTGGTGTAGGCTAATTCAGATACCTGATGATAGATATGTAAAAAAAGTGATATAATATGATGTTAAAGTAAATTGAGCATCCAGACCACGACATCTTCTATATCAAAATGGTTTTTGATACATCTGGGAACTACAACAGGTCAGTGATATATATACCGATTCCTCTCTGAATTTGTTAATCATATTATGGTTTCTTATGAACAAGAGTGGCATTATGCTTTATGCAAGGGTTCAAAAACATCCCAATATATTCTTCGTTTAAAACGTCATTTGGTCGTGAAATGTACATTCACTTTAACACTGTCAAAATTTTGAAATGCTCTTGCTCGCTTAAGGTGTGGTTCCCACAAGTTAGCAATAGAAACGGGCCGATATATTAAGCAGGATAGACCACACAGAACGTGTTTGGTTTGTTAAAAGCCTCATATTGAGGATGAATATAATTTTATTTGTATATGTAGTGCCTATGAAGAAATTAGAACCAAATTTATACCTGAAAAATACTTTGCCCATCCTTCATATCACAAATTTGCAATATTGATGTCCACAAATAATGAAACTATTCTGATCAACTTTGCTATTTATGTGTACAATGCAATGTTTGTCAGACAAAATATCCTCATTGTATGGAATGTTAATGTTTTTCATGTATGTAACAGTGACATGGGCCTAAGACCTCTCCACTGTAGAAATAAACTTGACTTGCATTGAATTATGTTACTTCCGAACCTTGGTGACTACTCCTGCAAAATCTTATTTTTTAAAAATTAATTAAAAAAAAAAACAAATGTAAGTGTCTTGTGGCACTTGATTACCAAATCCAGGTATTTTCATATATGTATAAGTTTCTAATAACCAAGGAAATGTTATGCTATACATGCTACAAGACTGGTATTTCCTCACTGACTGGCAACAGAATCGGTTGAGGTTTGTGTTGCATTATCATGATTATTGGACTGAATGATATTGTGGGTTGCGTTTTATGCTGCTTTTAGTGATATTACAGCAATATCACGGCGGGGAACACCAGAAATGGGCTTCACACATTGTACCCATGTGGGGAATCGAACCCGGGTCTTCGGCGTGACGAGCTATTGCTTTAACCACTAGGCTACCCCACCAACCCAAATGATATTGTGAATTTCATGTCCTTGGCTGTAACTTTATAATTAAATAAAGATTTACAAGCAGTGTTCACGAATAGCGTCTGACCCTCTGACAAATCCGGCAGATTCGCCAACGGTCAGACAGAAGTCTACAACCCGCCGGCCCCAGTGTCTGACTGTATATTTCACAATGACTTTGACTGAAGTTGTTATATGTGACATGTGACACTTGTTTGCTGTTTACAAATCTTATGTTTGTTAATAATTTCAATGTCAATTATAAGAAATATTAAATCTGAAATGTGGTTTTAATTTTATTCCATGGGTCCTGTGCATTTTCAATGGGTCAGACAGACATCTGAAACTTACAGGGCCCTATGTCCTGTGACTTTGAAACACCATTCGTGAACACTGTACAAGTAGTCAATATAGTTATTTTGTTGACATCAAATGATACTCTTGTGGCATTTGAATCAAGTGCTAATATAAATCTTTAACATTTGATATTATGTCATAAGGATTATTTGATGTTCATGCTTTATGCAAAATTCAAATCAAGCAGTAACTTTGTATTTCAAAACAGGTTTTTGCAGTCAGACATCTAACATTTACATACATGTATATAGTGTTTCGATGTATATTCCATGTTATTCCAAAGCAAAAACCCTAACAATTATAGTCAGTCATTACCTTTAAAGTAATATTGTTCACGGCCAATAGTTTCCTAACAGAATGCTTTCAGGTGAATCGTAATTGAATTCTCAAGTTCTGACAACTTAATCGTAATCAATGGTAATAATAACCTGTCAGTTCTTTTTTCACTGACATGCTGTATTTAGTCTTAAGTTGAAATTCCAACAAACACATACATTGTACAACCCCAGAGTTTAACATAAAAAGATATTCCTCGTGTTGATCGTAGGTAAATTCAAATCACTGCCATGCATATACCAATGTATACTGCCATCTTAAATGTCTTTATGGAAAAGGTCAGAAATACATATTGCCCTACTTGTCTTGCAGATAGCAATGAGATATCATTAACCTTTTGCAAATATTATTTGTTTTTATCATACAGATATCTTATTCATAAAGAGGATACTTTCATGCTTCCTAGCATGCAGAATACAAATATCTGGGTTCACATGATGCAAGAATTTGTATTTTCAATGGATCATATCCGACTCAAATTTTATTTCAGATCTTACTAGGGCTGGCTATCAATACAGATAATAGGTATCAATAATCGTTAACTAAGTATCAATCAATTAGTGATAAATACCAGAGGAATAACTTTGAGCAAAAATTACAAAAAGTCTGAAAGAAATGATCACATTTCACAGCACTGGTAAGTGGTGACATATTTATGCATGGATTTTGAAAAAACAGCAGTTTGAATATAATTTAGAAGCATCCCCTATATAGAAACATGGCTTTGTCTATTGTCTGTATAAATTAACACTCTATTCCATCACAAATGTACACGTATACCAGTATGTACGATATTGTTGAGGACACAATTTTCAGATTGATAATTTCTTAGTCTTCCCATTGACGATATTTCCAACTATCAATCTTCTTAAGAGCCCTTATCTAGTGCCTAAAACATGAAATGGACTAACTACATATACTATTTTCATTATGACATGTTTCAATCAAAGGAAACCAATGTTGATATTCTACACACATGGCTAAGAAAGTATTTTTTCTTATTAACGCTGTATTTTGTTATCAATGATCTTGTAGACTAAAAGATAACAGTAGTATAACTCTCTCAATTGCGTTTTTGTTTCTAAAATGACATGAGGACTCTCTATAACATTATTCCAGCAACAATGTGTCATTTCCCACTGTGGTATGTTGAGTGCCAAATCAGCAACACTTTCAATGTTTTTAAATAACAGTCTGGCTATCAATTTACACTATCACTGCCTCGTTTTCGGTTACATTGCAAAGTGAGTATCAGTGAATCGGTTGTATGTTAGGCTAACACATCTGATCACATTTACACCACCTGTCGGCAAATATTAGGCCGAACTGTATCGCTTACTTATCAAAAACAAGGGAGGCCTATGATTTGTCTTCAACAAATTATCACGTAAGACGGGTTTGCTGGGCGTGTCTGATCACGAGTGCTAATCGATAAAGTTAATTGCACCCGGCACATACTGATCAAGTTTTAATTGCACTGGTTAATTCGAGCGTACCTGTGTTGTGTCTCATACTCCAAAGCGGAAGGGGTGAAAATATGCGGGTCTGTTTACTCACCAGTACGACATTTCGCGTCCGAAGGAAACGATATATCTGTGTTGGTTCTGAAAGGAAAGAAATTTTCCTCTTAGACGAGTTTTAGGATTGAATCGCTGTAACTATCAGTGGTCTGACCTCTTTATTGGATACAATCATCCAAAATAATCGTTCGGAATTCGATCAATGATTGTCGCTACGCAATGTCGGGGGAAGTTTACAACACTCACTCTGCTATGCTGGGCTTATGTTGGGTTGTTTGAATCGACCCGACGTGGGGCTCGCGCTTCGGCCATGTGCTTGTACTTACTTTCAAATGCCTGAAGAAAGAGCTCGTGGTCTGCTTGAGGTGTTTCGTATATGGGTTCCTGCGGTGCCTTCTTCTCCCTCTCCCGTTTCTTTGGCCGCATCTCTCCCCAAAATGCCGACCTTCCAGCCGACTCCAATTCCGCGGGAACCACCGTACACAAAGCACATTGGAGCGAGGCAGGCTGGGTAACTCTTTAAACCAGAGGTACACAAGGCGATACTAATCCATAAAACAGTCGGCGCGCGACAGCAACACGCACCTGTCGCAGTGTGGCACACACCGGTATTGATTAGAACCTGTAGATAGTATTATGCTCACGTCGAAGTGGGATGAGATAGTGCTCAACATTTTTTGTTCAAATTATTTATGTCTATGAATATTTTATAATAGCTTTTCTGTCTAACAATACTTACGACTGCACGGATGATTGCGCGTACTGGTCACAGTCATCCGAATAACATTTGAAAATATAGCGATTGATAAAGACAAAAATAGATATTTGCTCATACATACTCAAAGTGAATGGATGAAAGAAACCTATTATTAAAGAAGATGTCATTAAAATATTTGATTTATATCTATAGGCTAAAAGAAAGTAAATACGGTCAGTGATGAAAAAGAAAACAGACGAGGCGTAGAGGGATTGTCAATGAAGTTGTTTACAAGCAAATGGAGAACGGAAATAGATTTTGCAAGTGGATACAGGATATTAATCGTAAAAGATGTCGAAATATGCGGGTGATATCTCTCAATCACATTTCCATGTTAAAATTAACTTATGTACAAAACAATCGACCTAATGCAGAATTATTAACCGATCGCCATACACAGTTTAATATTGGATTATTATCGACTTTTAATTTCTAAATGAGCATCTTACGTGGTATAGTCAATATAAATATATTTATGACACACGTTATGATTCGTTTTAATATTCCTAATTTCATTTATTGTACTTTCGTATCACAGGGGATTCCGGGTTAGAATTGGCCCCAAGCAGCCAATGCAGGTCAGAGGTGACTAAGGGGCGGTGGAGTAGCCTAGTGGTTAAAGCGTCCGCTCGTCACGCTGATGACCCTGGTTCAATTCCCAACATGGGTACAATGTGTGAAGCCCATTTCTGGTGTCCCAGTCGTGATATTGCTGGAATATTGCTAAAAGCGGCGGAAAAGCTTATTCACTTATGGAGCGCCTGGTCATGCTCGGTGACTTTCTCGATGGTGTGTCATCATGCCCCGAGAACGTGTCCATTGCTCATAATATCAATCACTGGATTATCTGGTCCGGAAGTGAGTATTGCTGAGTGCGACGTGAAACATCAAACGCATCCTTAGTATTGCATCCTTCAATGAGAGCTCTGTGGATACCTGGCTAGCTATTCTCGAAAGCTCTGTGGAAACGTTCGTAGCCTTACGAACTTCTTAAGCCCATTCTTAACACATTGGCTTCGATCAAAGTTACGAACTCTTATGGCCACGAACGTTTCGAGAATAAGGGCCCTGAGCCCCGTTTCACAGAGCGATCGTACAGCTACCACTGTCGTAAGCCTGTGCTAAGGTATATGGGAGTTACGATCACCGTAAAGTAGCGCTTCGTTTGCTTTGTGAAACAGGCTCCCAATTGGTTCCCAATACCGTTTCCTACTTGTCTTCAGAGCTAACAGACATGATGATCGCATGGTGTGTATTGTGGCAGTAGTCGCGGGTGATGACGTGGGTCCTTGCTCAAACTATCAACCACTGCTATACAAACATGATTCTAGTTTCAGGTGCAGGTTTGTGTTTGTTTGTTATTTAACGCCTCCTCCATCAGAATTACAGTTTTGTAAAGGTGACCTGCATACCATCGAATCTGAACCAGACAATCCAGTGATCAACAGCATGAGCATCGATCTACACAATTGGGATACAGTGATATGTGTGAACAAAGTCAGCGAGCCTGACCACCTAATCCTTTTACGACATGCATGGGTTGCTGTAGACCAGTTCTAGCCCAGATCTTCACGGGTCTGTGACTTTAAGTGACCAAATGATGAACCCAGTTTAGCGTGAGTTTTATCAGTTTTGTCGTGAGCATGTGACGTGAGCAATATAAACGTGAGTCTCAAGCTACAGAAGTGATAGTTGGCAGGTGAAAGATGACGTGGATTGTTATCAATTGTTATCATACTATCATTCTAGTTTGTGTAGGTAACTTCGTGATCATTTGAAAGAGAAATTAATTTACCTACTCAGATTTACGTGTTTGAAAAATCTAGCAATAACTGTTGTAACTATAATTAATCCAAATGTATTTATTAACCTTTGACTGCTCTTTCCGATCACCATTATGGCAGGCCTTCAACAAGTAGAATATATCACCAGTTCAGGATAATCTTTTTCAGTATTTCAGTATCTATTGAAAACAATAAATGCTCTTCAACGAACAATGTCTTCTGTGGTAATTAACTCATTAATGAACCGTGCCTCCTGCGGGTACTCTTCAGCAACAGGGCTGTTCCCACTTTCATCGTAGGGATGGGGAAGCACCACCTGTGTGCACTGAACCATTGATTAATGTGTCTCACAACTGGGAGGACACCGCTTTACGCATTTTACCCATGTGGGGAATCGAACCTGGGTCTTACGAGCGAACACTTTAACCATTAGGCTACCACGATGTTCCTCGTTTCATCAGGAAGTTACATATCGATTCAAGATTAGTACAGGTCCCCATAAAAACAGGTTTCATAGCCATAACGCGACTGAATGGATTCCCCACATGGGTACAATGTGTGAAGCGGGTGTGATATTGCCGAGATATTGCTGAAATATTGCTAAAAGCAGCGTAAACCCATACTCACTCACTCACAAAGAACCCCAGCCGACCAACATAACAGCACGAGTTCTTTCCAGCAGTTTCTCCGCAATTACACGACGTTTATGTAATGCTGCCATTATCTACAATGCGTCTTGACTGAATCGTTTTTGATATGACGACATCGCTAATGGCAGGTAAACACTGACTACCATCCTGGGGCTACAATTACGTTATCGATGTCAGTCGCAATATGATCGTTAGACATGTCCATGCTGACATTTAACATCACACTGTTGACGTAAATAGTCTTATTCTGATCTTTTTTTCCAAGGCTTCTCAATGCAACACACTTGTATAATTACGACAGCCGCAGTTTTGTTATAGTTCTCTTAGTACACGATGCACGCATTTCGCCGTTACAAAAGATGGATCGCATCGGATTGACAACGGTGTTGCACTTCACTTTGCAAAGTTGTCTCCCATAGAAGTGTCAGGATTTGTTAATCGGGGGTGGGGGTGGGGTGGGGTGGGCGGTTTGTATAGTTCGAATGCTCTTAGTGGAGAATTTGTTAGACAGTGTTTGTTTTTACGTAAAGCATCAGGTCAAATTTTCACATTTCCCCGTAGAACGAATAATTGTTTCCCATTTTTATCCTGAACAGATGTGTGTATATGCACATACATATAGCTGATCTGATTTGAATGAGAATGAAAAAAGAGCTGAATATTTATCAGACAGGAATGACAAAGTAACAACGTACAACGGCGGGTGTAACGAATAATATTAAACTGTCGGTGCACCGTACTGGTTCGTGGTACGTCAAGGGGCGGTGGGGTAGCCTAGTGGTTAAAGCTTTCGCTCGTCATGCAGAAGTCCCGGTTCGATTCCCCACATGGGTACAATGGTGTTATCCGCCGTGATGTTGCTGGAATATTGCAAAAACCGGCGTAAAACCCAACTCACTCCCTCACTCATTAGTGGTAGGTCAGCAATACACTCAAAATATCAATAGTTCACTTTACACAATGACAGAGAAGAATAAACTCTCATGTTTCATCTGTTTGAGCCGGGGTGGTGAGGTAGCCTAGTGGTCTAAGCGTTCGCTCGTCACGCAGACGACACGCGTTCGTTTCCCCCATATAGGTACAATTTGTAAAGCCCATTTCTGGTGTTCCCCCTGATATACCTTGTATGATGTATATATATCGCTAAAAGCGGCATAAAACCACACTCCCTCACTCACTCTGTCTATGCACATGCACGTGCATACCTTGGGACGTGGAGATGAGGTGAAAGTGAGTTTTACGTCGTGCTTGAGAATATTTCGCTCATATGACGACGTGCATGCGTGTGTATGTGTATGTGTGGCTGCTTGTACAAGCCCAAACTTAGGCTGGTTTTATAGTGCTAGCCCACTGAGATACCATGCCGCAGTGAAGCATGAATACCCACTCAGACACATTATACTGACTCCGAGCCGACCAGTCCTTGTTGTACCCATTAATGCCGAGCGCCAGCCAGGGACCAACAAGTACCATATTTTAACGTCTTTTGGTATGACGCGGTCGGGGATCGAACCCGCGACCTAACGCTCTCCGGGCGGACGATCTAACCACTACACCACGGAGGCGGTCTTGGGACGCGGAACTTCAGTTGTAAGACATATGATTCACGGGCATATTTAGTACCTAATATTGTAAGTTCCGGTTTATTTTTTGATGAATGATAGTGGCACCAGATTGAATGCTGAAGATTGTGTACAAAACGTTTTTAGTGCTAAATTCATTCTACCCTCGCTTCTTTACACATTTTTTTTGTGAAAAAATACTACTGTGGCATGGGGTTTAAGTCAGATACATTTATTTGAGTCAATAAAATGTCTGATTGTTCAGAAAAGTAAGTTGGCATAATTTACGCTTCAGAAGGGTGTAAGAAATTTGAATAATAACACTGCGTTTTGATAATGCAAAATGACTTGGAGGGCAGTCAGGCAGTGTATTACGGCTACTTGTTCAAACTATGCTGAACTTATAGAGACCATTTTGATGGCTTCTGAGTCTGTCGCAGAGGTTAAATATATACGCAGTGAGAGGAAAGTTGTGATGATACTTACATATGGAATCTGCTGGAGACATAGGGACTTTGTTTGGGTGGTGTTTGCGGAAGGATGTTGGTGAAGAGTGTGATTAGTTGAGGCAGCTGTTTCTGTGAAGCACAAGCAGTGTGTGCATACCAAGAATAAGGCTAATTTGGATGAACATAAGTTAGATCGGTTACACCAGGCTTAAACTTTGGCAGATCAGTACTTGTTTACTTACAAGGATAAGATCAGATCCTAGCAGGTAGATTAGAACATTCCATTGGAAATCAGATACGTAAGTTGGATCGAAACAGGCGTGTC